CCTCTTGGTAAATATGGTCTACAAAATTTTGCATTTGTAATAATATTTAACATATTCATCTTTAAAGAGTTATTTCCTTTGTTATCATTAGTGAAGGGAGTAAGATATTAGGTTTAGCAAGTATTAAAAGGCATAGCAACTATTAGGAGATGCTCACTATGTCAACGTTTACATACCATTTAAAAACTAGAATTAAAATTAAGTTTCCTTATTTAGATTAAATCAATTGTGATTCATTAGTATTCTAATTCTATTCAGTGTACAATGCCAAAAAAGAAAAAAAAAGATAAACAGATAAAAACACAGCTACAGATACTATCAAATCGACCTTGGGTTCATCAGCTTTAAATTCTGCCTTTCCAGTATCCCAGTCCCAAGCAGCATTTTTTTTGAAATGGTTATGTAGATCAGTTCTTAAAGCAAAAAAATAGCAATCTATCTGGCCTGTATGTTGTGGATAGTGTTGCCACTAAAAAGAATCCAGGACATTTTTCCTTCTTATCTGCAATGTAGCTCATATCAGCCAACCTGTCACAAGATAGTACTTGATATAAACAAGAGATTGCAAAGACATCTCAGTAATCAATATCAGGATGGCTACAGTATGGAAACCCCAACCAGTGCATATCATTTGTCTCAGCATCTATTTCTATGGCCAAATGAAGCATTAATTCAAATCATAAATCTATGGTGATTTAAATCTGGGAATGAGCACCTGCCTGCTTTAATGATTTATTTTGTACATTTCAGTAAGCAGGAGATTTGTCCATATGAACTGACAGGTCACCTTCAGATGCCAGGAGCAGACTGTTTATCACCATGCAGACTAGCATCTCATCTTAGCAAGTAAATATTAAACTAAAAGAATCCAATTGATTGTGGATGAGGGAGAATGGTGACATGGCCATATATTTCACTCGGCGTGTTGATGCGTCATTCAGATCTATCCTGAGGTCCTAACTTCTTCCTAAAGTGATCAGTCTGTTGGAAAGATGTGAGCTCAAGGTTACCATGTAAAATTGGGGTATAAAATAATTTGTCAGTATCAAAGGTTTTTTTAAACACCTTTTTCTGGCTAATTTTAAGATTCATATTATGAACTGGAGAGGGCCACCTATAACAAAATCGTTCCATTACCTCACCAAGCCAAATCAAACCTAATAAGCAAAACCAAAATCTATTTTCTGGGGCTATGAGGCTTTATTCACAATGGGGTGGGTGACAAAACAAATAAACAAAAAAAAACAGTGCTCCTACGTATCAAACCTAATAAGCAAAACCAAAATCTATTTTCTGGGGCTATGAGGCTTTATTCACAATGAGGTGGGTGACAAAACAAATAAACAAAAAAAAACAGTGCTCCTACAAAGGAAACCTAAAATGTTTAACAACACTTGTGAGTCAGATGAGCACAGGAGGGAAAAAGAGTCCTGAATTGACATGAAAAATGTCACTTGATTTGGGCAATACTGAGTAGCAACAATACATCATTTAAGTAGCACCTCTCTGAAGGGTTTCATTGCTTCAAAGAGCCAATTGATAGATTCATGAGAACAGTAAGTTTATATTCTAAAATATAGGCTTTGGAGATTCTTGGGATTCCTTCTAGAATTCACATGCTTCAGTACCACTTCCCAACCACCTCAGGGTAACTGATTCTCCTGGTGGATCCTGCACATCCTGTTATGACTGCTTGCTTACTTAGCCATCTCTCCCGTAGACTGCATGCCCTTGAGTGCTGGGCTTGCATCACCATTATTTCTGTATTCTTAGAATGAGCTAAAATCAAACGTACAACAAAATTCAAATGGTGTAAAAGCTTCCTCCTAATTTTATCACAAGTCTGCAGCTTAACAAATAATACCCGGCACAGAGAAAAAGAAAACAGAGTAAGCAGTTGATGACAGTAAATAGAGAAAGACAGTAGCTTTTAGGAGGTCAAGTTTGGAGAAACAGCAATAATATTAGGAAAAAAAATACTAAAATTACTAACTTTACTGGCAATCAAACAATGTGAAAAGCAGACATTGTAATAAACACTTGACACATTTTTTTAATTCTCATGATGTAGATCGTAGTATTTAGGCCATTTTCCAGATGTGGAATGTTAGGCTCAGAAGGTTTACATAACTTTCTAAAGTCACAGAGCAAGTAATTATTAAACACTTACCAAGAGGCAGGCATTGTTCTCAGAACCAGAGAAGACTGGGGCCATATATAGCTGCTCAAATCAGCAACCGCTTTGATCTAGGCCAGCTCAACCCCCACCCCCACCTTCACCATTCCTTCTCTACCCTCCCCAAACTCACTTTCCCTGATCTCTAGATAAATGTCAGGGGACGGGAGGTGCTCAGGAAGGATAATATTATAAATCACAAATTCTTAGAGGACAGCAGCATGTGAGAATAGAAAGAAAATGACAATGATAACATTTTTTCCCTAAAATCAGCTAAAAAAAAGTCTAGCATAACTGATCTACATGCTTTATGAACTGGCGATGGCACCAATGTTAACACAATCTCCAAATATTAAGACCTTCTAGAAAAATTCAAGTAAATTTCTGCTCCTCATTCAAATTGGTGTGGGATGGTGCGTGTCAAAACTAAAAAGCAGAATAAATTACCAACTAAAAATATAGAAGAAAAGTGATTTCTTTCAACGAAAATACAGAAAAAAAATTAATTTTCTCTTTTTAAAGCCATTATAATAGCCTATATACCGAAATAATTAATGTAAGCTACAATTTGGTCAGTCAGCCAATATTATCGTATAGTATCAGATATTAAATGTATGTAATGGCTTAATTATGAACCATGTTCTGCTTATATTATGCCTATGCCTATTGGTTTCTCCAAAGCCAACTTTCACTCTGCTACTTAGGAAATTTCAAATGGAGGTACCACGTTTTAATACATTTTGCTTTAAATGTTATTAAATTTCCTTTTTTTTAAAAAATCTTTTTTGTGACCAGCCGCACCGCGCTCAGCCAGTGAGCGCACCGGCCTCCCCCATATAGGATCTGAGCCCTCGGCGGGAGCGCTGCTGCGCTCCCAGCGCCGCACTCTCCCGAGTGCACCACGGGTTGGCCCTTAAATTTTCTATTTTAAGAATCCCTCCTCACAACACCAACTATCAAGAATAGCCTGCAGTAAAGGTCTACTCTTCTAACATTTTGAAAATAATCCAGACTATATTTTGAAATGATAACTATAATTTATAGTGGCTAATTACTTGCTTTTAAAGATGTCCAATGTTGCCCTATTTTATAAGCCAAAGTAAAAGACTTTTAAAGTAATGTATACTTGATAGTTCTAAAAACAGAATTATAAATCTTCCATTTTACTCCAATACTGTTTTAACTTTCAAAAGTGTAAATTTATGTGTATAAACCATGACATCTGCTGTCTTCTGCCCTCCCTGCCTAGGAGCATTTACAAATGCAGGCAGTGATATTTTCCTTAGTCCCTTTCAGTTTTACAGCAGCCGTCTCTTTTGGCTCTCTTCCGGGTCTTTCTGTCTTTCTAAGAATTGCCACCACACCCTACTCTCAATTCAAACCTATTGCTGCCAGTCTTTTTCCCATTTTACTCCAATACTGTTTTAACTTTCAAAAGTGTAAATTTATGTGTATAAACCATGACCTCTGCTGTCTTCTGCCCTCCCTGCCTAGGAGCATTTACAAATGCAGGCAGTGATATTTTCCTTAGTCCCTTTCAGTTTTACAGCAGCCATCTCTTTTGGCTCTCTTCCGGGTCTTTCTGTCTTTCTAAGAATTGCCACCACACCCTACTCTCAATTCAAACCTATTGCTGCCAGTCTTTTTCAATTTCCCTTACGCAATTCTGTTGAAAAGTTCTGTTTCCCTTTTTTATATTAGAAGCTGCCTTTTAGCATCACTGAAACAGTAGTATTTTGTGTTTTGTGCATATATTTCAAAATTACTTCCTACTCTAACATTCATGTCCAGTGTGTGTTTCCAGGGAACTGTTGTGAAAATGATTATTACTAAAATCCAAATATTTCTTCATACACCCTTAACTATGTCTTAATGGACTGAAAGTAGAGAGCTGCTGATTAACTTAAGAAATACCCTGCTAAAATGCTGCATAGAAAAGAGAATTTAATTGAACTGCCATGAATTATTGTGTCCTTCAAGAAAATATGTTGGATATAGTATGAGTACCTTATGCACATCTTGTATTACCCAAATCTCTCTTGTTAAATTATATTTTGAGTTTGGTTTTTGCCTTTTAAAAGAAAATCATATGGTGCAACTGCAGAATAAAATGTATTACCACACCAACACCTAGGTGCTAAAGATTTCATTAATTAAAAAGTTAACACATATTTGAAGTTGTGCTTGACAAAACAAATTACCCAAATGGATATTCTCCAAAGGCAAAACTCTTCCTTTTGGTTTGACAGTGACAGGTAACTTTTCATCTCTCTTTCTCCATACAACAGGAAAAAAAAAAATCAAGAAAAATTAAAGTTGTATTTTTTAAATGAGAGAGACATTGATAATGGTTGTATATAGAAAGAATTAATCATCAACATAACCCTTAGTTTTGGCAGCACATAAAAGGTTAAGTTTATATGTTTTCCTGCTAATGGCAGTAAATTTCTTAGTTGCTAACAAATGCATTATAAGCATTAAAAATAAAGTGTAGGGTTTCATTTGTACTATTTTTCTGTTATCTTACTTATACTCAATATTTTAGAATTCTGATTATTAAAACTTATTTGTATCATAAAAGATGTTAGCAGAATGCTCATAGTAGAACTTGCAGACATAAAATTGATCCTATAATAAAAAATAACATTGCTAATTATTTATTTAGAGTGCATGTTGTTAGAGAGGTGAAATGGTACCTTTAAAATAAGCAATGTTGTCAAGCTAAAAGTACCAACTTTTGGAATGAGTAGTCAATAGTTTTATTCTCAAAAAGTAATTCAGTAGCAAAGTGATCACGGTAACTTTCAGTGAACATAAAACTTACCGACACTTGAATTCATGTCCCCATTTTCAGAATCTGCTCCATGTTGGCTATTACTGGCATGATAGTTGCTCATAGCTTCTAATTTGATTTTTTTCACCTTCATTGCTTCGGCGATAGCTGCATTGGTAGCAGCGGCAGCTGCTGCAGCTGCTGCTGTCAAACCTTAAAAGAATAAATTAAAAATGAGGTAATTCAAATTCTGCTATTGCACATAATAATTTGTGTACTTTATGTAACATACATACAAACATATATTAGCGTGTCTGATTCCTTTATGCAACACTCTGATGATGTATATTCATTCCCAACTAGCCAGTGAAACAACACTGATATAAGAGGAGAGTGCTCTCTAAGCTCCAAAATTAAATATTAGCAGAAACATAATTCATACACATAGAAGGATAACAGTGAAAATGCAGCCAGAATTATCTCTCAAAGAAACCAAGCTGAACATGTCATTCCCTGCTTAAAATCTCGTACAGTTGCCTGATAAAAGGAAAACATCTCAACTGCTAGCTTAATCCACAAGGCCTTTCACCAAGGAGTGAAAACCTACCCCATGATTATCATAGCTCAGTCCAGCAAATCCAACATGCCAAAAGCCTGTGCTGCCCACATGCCATTCCATGTGTCTGGAATGTTCTTGCCTCATGACTCACTTCCCTGACTTCCCATCTTCCGGTAAAATCCTACTCTTGTTTAGAAGTCTTAACCCCCCATCTCTCTCCAGATGCACTGATGTCTTGTCTACTCTTCTCCCCTTGGATCATGTTTACACTTGGATTACAGCATGTTCCATGCTGTACTCACTACAAATGTCTCTTTGTACATCTGTGCTCCTCATTAGATTGTGAACTGCTCAACGGCATGGACAGTGTGTTGCTGCACAGCTTGGTAGAAAAAATAAAATATAATAGTAGCTAATGCTTCACTTCCACTTATTAGATTTAAGTGCTGATTTAAGTGACATAAAAGTAGTTTAATTGTCTTAAAGACCCTATGTGATTGACCACTATTATCCTTACTTTACAGATTAGGAAACAATGGCAAAGGATTAAAATAGCACGTTCTAGTCCCCAAAGTTGACACTTTCAGCCAGCCTGTCATGATGTTTGTCCAGAAGAGTTCATTTCTGTTCATCCAGAGAACAGGAGGTATAAGTGAACATAGCTTGAGTCTGAGACCAGATCTTGGAAGATCAGAATGCTAAGGCTATGCTATTTTGACTTTATATATTTATATAGAAAGATAGCCAGCAGAGGTTTTGAGCAGGGGAGTGGTTTGTTTTCCTTAAATGTGTGAACTTTTTACCACATCAATTTACTTCAGCCTAGCATCCCTCATCTATAAAATGACAAACACTGGAAATATGAATGATCTCTCCTGATTCTAAAACATTAACAGTCTATGAAAGATATATATCCTTCCCCCTCCTCCCCTTTTACTTTTTGCTATGGCTGCTTTAGTATTTCTGACTACAGTGCTCCAGCCCTGTTTGAATTTATCTGCGTGATTTATTTCTACCCCCAGCTGGTGGAATAGAGACTGAGCACGCCTGTCTTCTTTTGCTCCCAACTAATCATCATTTCTAGTTATGACAGCAAATAACTCACAGCCCAAGAAATTATAAGAAAGTCTCACTGCATGGAAATCTCTGCTGTTTTGTTAGAGGTCAAGAGAAAGCTTCACCTTTCCTTCAGATCAGATCAAAGAGGCCCTGACAACTTTCACCCCAACACAAGAAGAATCCTACAGATTGGACCTTTGCATAAAAAAATGATAACCACTCCTTAAAAGGCACTGATCTAAACTCAAAGAATCCATCTGGGTTTGATCTGAACATTCATTGCCTTTTAAGTCCCAACTTGAACTGATTCTCTCATCTTCCTATGATTGAATTTTCTCCCCAATTACTCATTTCCTTCAAAGATGTTTCAGAACATTTTCTTTCCTGTTCTCTTAAAATTTCTTATTTCCCAGCAAGTCTCTTTTCCTCAATTTGCCTTGTCACCAATGTGAACATCCCATCTGTCCCTTCTCTTAGTGGCCTGATGTTGACCCATCTCCAATTTATGACACTTCTAAGGTCTTTGTCTTGGATTTATGCTACAGGCAAATCTTGTTCCTAGTATTCAAATAATAAAAGATACACACACAACTTGAGATGTGATTGTTATTGTGTAGATTCAAATTAGATTAAGTAGCGTGAAACATAACTATGTATTACATGGCCTCGGACAACCCATCAGATCTTCTTGAGTATGGTTTCTTTATCTGTAAAACCATTCTAATCCCAAAGGGAAAATATAAGAATTAAATTAGATAAACTATGTGAGACTATCACATCATGTTTAGTAAAACTAGGCATGCTATAAATTCTAGTTCCTCAATAAGTAAAGCCCAGGCCTATCTATGGTTCCTGCAAGGTATCTGTGGGCTGGCATAGCCCCCTCAGCTAGAAGAATCACACATGTCATTAGATGATTGCAGTAGCCCTTACCTTTTAAAAATACTTTTTATAATTTTATTATCTGGCTGATCTTATTTATAAAATTTATTTTTCCATTTGACAATATTTCCCAATTTCACATTTCTAATACAAATTTCAAAAGATATATGTGTCACACACATACACATGCACATGACAAGCTGTAACTTAACTACAATACTTTTTAATATTCTATTTTTAACCCAGTTTTATGAAGGCAGGAAGAAAGCTGTGACATACGCAACAGTTGCTGATTTTAGTTGCACTAACTCACCTGGCTGTTTGATGGGTTCTCAATTTTAATTCTTTAATACCTTTCTAATTCAACCAATCTTCTCCATTTCCACTGCCCCCTCCCACCTCCAGTGCAAACTTCCATCTTTTCTTCCCTAGAGTCCTGCAATAAACTCTTAAAAGCTTTCAATTTCCTCACCTCCAATCTCTTACTATTCGTGTAGCAGACAACATAACCTTATAAAAATGAAGATCCGATAGCGGCATTAATGTCTGCTCTTAGAATCAAGACCGTGCCTGGCTGTCAGGACCTTTTATGCTCATTTCCACACCTGTGTAGAATCTGTTCCTCCAGCTCCCCCCTTGAATCTCTATGCCCCAGATACATAGGCCTCCTTTCATTTCCTCTAGTGGGCTACATCATTCTTCCTTTCAAGTCAATCTCTGCTCATGCTGTTCTTACTTTCTGGAGAAGCTCTACAGTCCCCTGCTCCAGACCTGCCTATTCCTCCTTCATGTGTTGGCTTAAATATTATGCTCTCAAAGAAACAGGCTCAGGTTCCTGACTTTTCACTCTCTACCTGGGAAATAGCTATCGGCATTTCAAGAACGAGCTCAAGGCCCACTCTTTGAGAGAGAACCTGCCCCTAAGAAGAATTAATGATCCACTTGCTGTATTCTCATCAGCCCTGCTGTATGTGTGTTCATCATCCCTCGCTGTGCATCAAAATCAGCCATGGAGGTTTTAAGCCATGCAAATAGCTGAGCCCTAGCACTGAGATGCTGACTGGGTTGCTCTAGGTTGAGGCCTCGCATCTCTATATTTTTGGCTGATCTTACTGTTCCACAGGTCATTTTAATGTGCAATCTGAGTAGAGAAAAGCACTCCTTTGAAGTTTTTATTGCTGTTTTCTTTGGGGAGGGCGATTAGGGTGGTAAGGGGGTGATGTTAGGGCTAGTTCCTCTAATTGGTTTACAGCACCAAAGGGCAGAAATACTTTCTTGATACATATATATATCCCACAAATCTACCACAATGCCCCACACAAAACTGTCTCCAGATGAGAAAAACTTCTCAAACTAGATTATTGGGAAAGCCAGAGAGGAATATAATTACTTTGTCAATGTCAATAGAAGGTAATCTAACACATTATTTTTACGTTACAATAAATGTGAACATACTAGGAATAGTGAATCTCCTTAACTTAATATAGAATATGTCTCTCCAAAGGTATATCTTGCCAAGGACTGAAGAGGAAAATCAAAGGTTCACCTCGTTCTGCATTTATTGCACTTCCTGTTGGCCTTGTAGTGGTCCTTTCAAATCCCTAATGTAATTCTTGAATCCCCTCCAACTTGCTGTCTCTAGTAAAAATTCAGCTTACATTCTACACACTACACACTAGTTTTAGATGGAGGTCCCATTTATATGTCGTTCCCTAACAAAGTTGTCTTAAAAAAAAGGAAAAAAAAAAAGTATAATAAATTCACAAAATAACTGAAGTCTTTGGTCTATAATGCATAGAGAATTTAAACTAAGACAGAATTCTCAGTGTAATCAAGAATTGTTCAGTTGTGTACACATTGGCAACACATACATTTACCACAGTCTTTTACCTCACTTTATAACTCTTCTCTGTCTTATAGCTCCTCTCCCCTTACATCAGGTTTAAGATTTTTGCTACCCCTTGCTTCCATATCCCACCCTGAAGTGACTTACACGGCAAATGACCACTGATTTTAACTCTTCCCAGTCAAAACAACCCATTTTTTCCCTCAGAACTAGACAACTCGGTTTTTCTCAAAGTAACTACCTACATCAAGCTCAGCTGCAGTGCATGGTAAAGATGGAGGTGATCTTCCCCAGGCCCACTGCAGTGGGTTGACTGTTCTCCCCAAACTCATTGAGGCTTAATACCCTTTGTAACTGGTAAGAATGGGAAATCCTATTATGATAATTGAAGAGTGGGGCCTCAGAGAGGTGATTAAGTTGATGGTTTAATGTTGGTCGTGGATGTGGTTCTAAGGAGAGGGCATAAAGAGCTCTCTCTCTTTCTCTCTTTCTCTCTGCTCTGCCATTTTCTGCCATGTGAGGCCCCTGTATTGCTGTAAAGCCACCACCAAAGTACATCCTCACCAGATGCATTGCCTCGACTTTGGACTTCCCAGATGCTGAAACTGTAAGTAATAAATGTTATTTTCTTATAAATTACCCAGTTCCAGGTATTTTGTTATAAGCAACAGAAATACACTAATACACCAACATTCACAGAATCTACCTCTGAGATGGACTGAAGAATCTGTATTTTTGCATTTCAACCAGCTGCTTCTCATGCTCACTGCCCCTAGATTATTCAGTGATGGAAATTTACAGTGAAGTGTATCTGTACCTTATAATAAATGTTTATTAACCAAGCAGATCATCATTGCATTGG